CGCACGGAGAGAGCGGTTCGCCCTGCTGGTCGCGTTGCTTGCGTTCCTATACGTTGTTGAAGTCCTACTTTTTCCAGGATCCTTCGAAGATCCTGATAAGTCAACATATTAGATATTAAATGGGAACCATTGGTTTCTATTTCCGTTGACATAAGCTTTGCTACAATGCATTAAATACCCTCCTAACCAGCTGTTTGACCTCTTATTCACTATTTCTTTTTTTAAATATATTTGTATCGATTTCAGAGAGGAAGGGAGAGGGAGAGGGAGAGCTCCTTTAGTCTGTCCTGAGAGGCCACATTCAAATTCATGACCCAAATACCGGGAGAGAACATTCTCTCCTAACAGTGCCGGTTTGCTTCATCACATACGGTGCATCTACCTTCCTTCATGGTCTCGATCCACTTTGTCTCTTCCAACTCCAGGACCGTGGGTCCAGTCAAAGCTTCCTCCAGGTACTTTTCTTAAAGGAGCTCTCCCTCTTCCTTGAATGCACTGGGACACAGTACCTCTCAGTATTTCAGCCTATCGGAAGCTGCTTTAAGGGGCTCGTGGTCATGTTCGCCTTTGTTGAGGTTTACGAAATAAACAAAACAAATTGATGACTAAAGGGAACTCTCTTCCCTGGTGCATTAAATTGCTCCACATTAAGTGTGAAAGAGTGTCAGTGTAGAAGATTTTGTGCTGTTTTGTTTATAAAACTTACTCGAGGCCCAGTGCACGAATTCGTGCACGGGTGGGGTCCAGCCGGCCCACCCCCATGGGGCTGATCAGGCAAGGCCAGCCTGGGGGAGGGACTGCGGGCGGTTAGCTGGCCAGCCCCAACCCCTGGAGGGTATAATTTGCATATTAGCCTTTTATTATATATGATTATTATATATGATTATTGTGCGAGAAAGGAATTGGCCATTGACCCAAATTCACAGCATAACTTACACCTGTGACACACAGGAACAGGTTTGGGAGCATATGAGTAACAAATCTGAAAACGGTCGTTATGGACAAAGAACCTTCTTCCTTGACTCAGACTCCTTAGACATAAATACCAGACCTGAAACATCGCCCAACTCTATGGTCTTGAACTTCTGTGAGGAAGATAAATATCTTGAGGGTTGGTTAAGTTAATACTTTGAATGCGTTCCTAACCCAGGTCATTAACTTTCCATGTTTATGCTTCATTAAAAACAGTTGTTTGACTCCCTAGAACAATCATTAAATCATAATTTTTCCTAATTTTCAGATTATTATTACAAGATGCACAGATTAGTCATTATCTGTTGTCTTTCACCTTTTCTTTTCCAGTAAAAGAAGCCTTGAGCCCTGTCAAATTTAACAGATGGGGTCTCCCGGACGTCGACCCCGAGACGATGCAGACCAGTGAACCGTGCTTTTCCAGTAAAAGAAGCCTTGAGCCCTGTCAAATTTAACAGATGGGGTCTCCCGGACGTCGACCCCGAGACGATGCAGACCAGTGAACCGTGGGTGTTTGCAGGGGGTCTGGGTTAGAGCTAGGGAGAGCCCGGATAGAGGGACATCCTGCCAATCAAAAAAGGAGATCAAATTAACGGGATTCCACCACTGGATGCTACAGAAAAGGCAGAGGGAGGAGGCCCAACGTCCCAGAACTCGCTGGCTATGGAGACCATATCTTCCCTCGAGGGGCGGACTGGAAGGGATCATTGGGTGGTGAAAACAGTCAACAGTCAGTGTAAGTTATTCTAAGAAATTAGGTAAAGAAAGATGGTAGTAGGCAGTGAGAAAAGAAAACCATTTTTCCAAAGGAGAGGAGACGAGGGAAACGCAGTATTCTAAGGAGAGTCCGAGATGATATGTAAGGCCCGGAGGAGCGGGCAGGCGCAGAATCAAGGCTGACTTTTCTGACTTGGAGGGGCTGTGAGAGACAATGAGGACTCCTCCGAGGGCCTGTGGTAACAGAGTGGCCAGCACGTTGCTTCAGAGACTCCGATGCAGGCGGCGATGCGAAGGCAGAACCCAAGCCCTTGCAGGTGATGGCTCTGAGTTGTTGCAGGCACCCCCTGGCCCTGGCCCTTCCTTACCCCGGGCTCCTGCAGGGGCCCTCGCACCGCCGGCCCTGTCATTAGAGATGCTTTGCTCTTGCCGAGATTCTGCTCTTGGCGTTGCTTTGCCAGGGACTGTCGTCTCGGCTCGCTTGTGTTGTCTCTGCGCTCTGGTCCCCGTGGCAAATGGGTTCTGCAAAATGAAACCACAGGCACAGAGATGGGTCCAGCTACGTTTTCCAGAAGCCTTTGTGTGGTCAATGTTGAGTTTTTCTCTGCCTCTCCCCTCGCGCTGTAACATCTCAAACTCAGCATGGAAGAGGGGCCATCCTTCCTCATTGTGATTCCTGTTGTGCTGTTTATGGAGGATTAATTTACATTTATGCACCGAAATATCACATCCTTGACATCCTTTTATGAATACTGAGAAATAGACTTGTCATATGCTTGTGGGTTGCTTGTCTGCCGATACGACAGCGCAGCTCCATCCGTCTAATTGACCTTGGCAATCTGCGTCTCCTGGTGACGGGTCCCTGAGGGCCAGCTGCTGCGGTTTAAGTGTGGCTTATTGAAGAACTTGCGTGTCACAATACAATTAAGTCTATGGGGGCGGGGGGGGGGGGGGGGGAATCATTTCATGCATAACATTAAATTGACTAAAAGTCCCTATTTCAAAACCACTTCTTGTTTGAAAGCTACCTCAGAGTGTCTTTAAAAAAAAAACACAACTCATTAGAACATAGTAGTAATTAAAGCCGGAAATTTGCATACATCTCCAATGTTTGGTTAAAATTAGGGATGTTTTCCTTCTTTTGAAAGACTGCATGGGATTCCAGGCACCCTGACAGGTAACACCCTTCTCTCCCGTGTGCGGAAGAGTAGAGACTGTACATAAGCAGGTCCTGGGTTCTTTCTCACGTTCTCTTTCTGTCCTGCTGTCGAGCTTCCCGGGCCTGTGCTGCAGGCCCTTCGGGATGCGGTCTCGCGGAGATCTGTGGGGCAATGCCTGGTCGCAACAGGAAGGCCTCCCACACCGTTAGGGGATAAACAAGACGGAAGAACACAGCCTTCTGTTACTATCCAGCCGCCACTGCCTAGGAAACGGCACGCTAAGTAAACCTTCCCATCCTCTTCGGCTGCCACTGGTTCCACGCTGGATGAAGGCGGAGCAGGAGACGTGCACTGGGGGGGGTGGGGGTTGTGCCCCTGGGAAAGGGGTCCCAGCGCTGTGAGCCCCGGGAGTGAGCGCCACAGGAGAGGTTACCCGGACGGGAAGGTGGAAGCCGCCTTCGTGAGCAGCGCCTACGCCACCGAGGGACTCCCTTCTGGCAGACAGTGAAGAGCGTGCACATGGGTTGTGTTTTTCTTTTGACTGAACCCTTGATTTGATTTCGATGCTAAACCCTCTGGAGCTTTAAGGAATGTGGTTAAATAACGGAAATAATGGTTCTCTTGCAAAAGAGTCCATTGGAATCGTGGAAGATGTTATTTGGATTTATAACATCAGTTCCAACAAAGTGCTCGCAAGCAAATTCATAAACTCATATTCTCCCTCCCTCCCTGCCGACCCGCCTGTCTCTGCACGTGTACTGCCACGGAGGCCGCTGTGCCTGCAGGGAGGTGATGCTCCCCGACCTGCACCATTTGAAGATCAAGTTGCCATGAAGGGCCATCCCGGCACTGGCTGCCTAGCGCACGGAGAGAGCGGTTCGCCCTGCTGGTCGCGTTGCTTGCGTTCCTATACGTTGTTGAAGTCCTACTTTTTCCAGGATCCTTCGAAGATCCTGATAAGTCAACATATTAGATATTAAATGGGAACCATTGGTTTCTATTTCCGTTGACATAAGCTTTGCTACAATGCATTAAATACCCTCCTAACCAGCTGTTTGACCTCTTATTCACTATTTCTTTTTTTAAATATATTTGTATCGATTTCAGAGAGGAAGGGAGAGGGAGAGGGAGAGCTCCTTTAGTCTGTCCTGAGAGGCCACATTCAAATTCATGACCCAAATACCGGGAGAGAACATTCTCTCCTAACAGTGCCGGTTTGCTTCATCACATACGGTGCATCTACCTTCCTTCATGGTCTCGATCCACTTTGTCTCTTCCAACTCCAGGACCGTGGGTCCAGTCAAAGCTTCCTCCAGGTACTTTTCTTAAAGGAGCTCTCCCTCTTCCTTGAATGCACTGGGACACAGTACCTCTCAGTATTTCAGCCTATCGGAAGCTGCTTTAAGGGGCTCGTGGTCATGTTCGCCTTTGTTGAGGTTTACGAAATAAACAAAACAAATTGATGACTAAAGGGAACTCTCTTCCCCGGTGCATTAAATTGCTCCACATTAAGTGCGAAAGAGTGTCAGTGTAGAAGACTTTGTGCTGTTTTGTTTATAAAACTTACTCGAGGCCCAGTGCACGAATTCGTGCACGGGTGGGGTCCAGCCGGCCCACCCCCATGGGGCTGATCAGGCAAGGCCAGCCTGGGGGAGGGACTGCGGGCGGTTAGCTGGCCAGCCCCAACCCCTGGAGGGTATAATTTGCATATTAGCCTTTTATTATATATGATTATTGTGCGAGAAAGGAATTGGCCATTGACCCAAATTCACAGCATAACTTACACCTGTGACACACAGGAACAGGTTTGGGAGCATATGAGTAACAAATCTGAAAACGGTCGTTATGGACAAAGAACCTTCTTCCTTGACTCAGACTCCTTAGACATAAATACCAGACCTGAAACATCGCCCAACTCTATGGTCTTGAACTTCTGTGAGGAAGATAAATATCTTGAGGGTTGGTTAAGTTAATACTTTGAATGCGTTCCTAACCCAGGTCATTAACTTTCCATGTTTATGCTTCATTAAAAACAGTTGTTTGACTCCCTAGAACAATCATTAAATCATAATTTTTCCTAATTTTCAGATTATTATTACAAGATGCACAGATTAGTCATTATCTGTTGTCTTTCACCTTTTTTTTTTCCAGTAAAAGAAGCCTTGAGCCCTATCACATTTAACAGATGGGGTCTCCCAGACGTCGACCCCGAAACGATGCAGACCAGTGAACCGTGGGTGTTTGCAGGGGGTGATATCGTGGGAATGGCTAACACGACCGTGGAATCGGTGAATGATGGGAAGCAAGCCTCCTGGTTCATTCACAGATACATACAGGTAGGCATGTGCAGTCGATCCTTGTTCATTTCGCCCAGTGGATAAGTACTTTATTTTTACTGCTTGTTCATATGAACATGTCTATAATATATATTCTGACTCTATAGCAGTGGTTCTCAACCTTGGCTGCACATTAGAATCACCTGGGAATCGTTTTAAAGTCCTGATTTCTGGGCCTCATCCTCCGGAAATTCTGTTTCTTTGTGATGGGGTGGGGCCACAACATCAGTAACAAAGAAACAGTCGGCCTCATACATATTTACTCGGAGAAAGTGTTCTGATTTTTTGTGTGCCGTCCAAATTTGGTCGACCAGACATCTCATTGACCGGACTGTTATCTCCTTGAAGGAATGAACGTAATCCAGCTCTGGGGCGAGGCCAGAGGGAAGCTAGTAAAGGTGGAGATTCAGTTTGCAGGAGCGAATAGGGTGGGAAGGCAGACAGGCCAGGGAGACTGGAAAAGGTGAAATTGAACGCGAGTCCATAGAGAGTGGGAGGTGTTCGTTTTCCCCCTGAAGTTTTAAATCCGTTTATAGCGTTTAAATTACAATACATAGAGAACATTCACTCCAGTTGATGATGATTGTGGTTGTGTGGTTTTGTCCCAATTGTCACCTGAAAGGAATCTTAGGGGTGTTTTTCTGTTGACGTCACTGTTTTCTTTTGATTTCCCTGAATCTGATCAGCGTGCCCTAAGGAACAGGAGCACTTATTTTCCTTTGCTCCTACTTACGCATGAAAGGGAAGAAACAGACTTTTAGGGGTGATTTTAAAAAAGAAAGAAAGAAAGCGGATGTGCTTTAAAAAATGCATAGTGCTAAGAATCATAGTGTTTGGAATATAAAATGGAAAATCTGTGACCGGTACGAGGTGGGGGCTGGCTGAAGGATTCAGACTCGTCCAACATAGTGTTTGTTTAATTGCCTTTTCAGGTTGGAGTAGAAGGGGAGGCGGGTGTAACATCTCTGAGTGTAGCCCGGACACCTCCCCCTGCCGCCAAGGGTGCTGGGTGCTGGGTGCTAAGACTAAATAGGAACAGACCGACAACGTGGATGTCCCCCTCGCTGATGCCGTTACCTTAGGCCTGGCCTCTGTGGCCTCTTGAAATTGCCTCCACTCCCTGCCCCTCAAGCCCAGGGCCCAGCTCTATTTTGAAATAGGTGTTTGTCAATTTCTTCAAAACTATCACAAATTCCTCGCATCGATGACCTACGTTTCTATTGCTTGAGGTTTTGTGTCCTTTCTTCCGGTTCGATCGAGGCACGTCCGCATCCCTAGTTGCTGGGGGACCTAGGTGTCTCAGAGATGAGCTACAGTGCCTGGTCCCTAGTTCAGATCTGCCCCAGGTCAAGGTTGACAGAAAGTCATTACCATCCAGTGGCAGGTCGATAGCTCTGTGAAAGGAATCGGTGATTTCCGAGCCTCTTGGAGAGTTTCATGCCAGGGCCGACCCTAAGGTGAGTCAGCTGTGGTTTTCGTTGGAAGAGAAAGGAGGAGCTCGATCGTTGCTAAGTATTTCCATGGTTTCCCGTGAGCTCAGCCTCCTCTTGGAGAACCTGTGGCTGGAATGGCATGGGAACGCGAGCCTTGTGCGTGTGTGCTCTGAGATTGGGGCCCGAGGCTCAGCCGCAGGGATCCCTGTCTGCCTGTTGGAAGTGAGGATCAACTCAGCGCCACTAAATTGACGTTACAGACGTGATCTCAGACCCGGGTGGCGATGGATTCAAGACTGAGAGTCTTATGTCGTTCACGTCTCCTGTTTCTCCTGCATATGTTTTTTTTATCTTTAATTTTCCTTTTTAATCGTATTATTAGTTTTACCTACGTTTGGACATAGCCTGGACCCTTAGAGAGGCCCATGTGTGCTGTTGGTCTTTCACTTGGGAAACAGTGTTAACCAACAGGAGTAGAAAGTGGGGAGCAGACCCTGAGGACGGGGCATCTGAGACGGAGCACAGCATGGAGGTCATGGCTGTGGAGTCCATTGGATTATGTGTGTTCATATCGATAGAGAAATCTTTCATCTTCTGCCGTTTTTTTACAGTTTGAGATCATGGGTAGGGCTTTGTCTTTCTGATATCTTTACCTGCCCAGGCAGGCTAGCAACACTTTCTGATTGGGAGTCTCTAAAAGGAAGCACCTTTCCAAAGGAAAACAAGGCCCATGTTTATGCCCGAGAGATTAGTGAGAGTGAATACAGCATTTTCTTACCGCTGGAATATTTACAATCTTATTTTCTGTTGGGCTCAGTGATTTTCAAAAGGAGCCCCACATTATTGGACCGTAAGAATTTTTAAAGCCACCTCTAAGAATTTTTACGATGTGAAAATACATCAAGAATGATTCTAAGCGTGCCTCGTGTTAAAGATTTCTGCTGTGGACAAAGATGAGCAGTTGCAAAAAAAAAAAAAAATACAACCATCGGGGCTTTTAGGAAACAAACTTGGAGGAACTTATCTGCGCCCCGTCTCTGTGGCTTCGAAGACTTTCCCCGCCCACTTCACACAGAAGACACTTGTTATCGCTGCTTAAAATTCCACTTTAATGCCGCGTCTTCAAAGGCGTCCTTCTGCCTGAAACACACCGGTGGTTTCCACGCTGTCTGAGAGCCAGGGTTCGAGAATTAGAAATGTAAATGGCCCGGCTGCCGTCGGCGCTCCCTTACCCTTTGCAGGTTCTGCGGCAGCTTATTCGACCTTACAGTCTCACCGGGGAGCTAATGGGAAAGCCGGCAGCGGTCTTCATGGGAGAGATTCCAAATGTCAAGTGTCATCTTTCCAGCTGCTAGACGAATGGGTAGCCACCAGGCATGCATTTGGGTGTGCAGCCCTGTGAAACCGGGGAGGCAGGCGGAAGGCTGTAATTTGGTGGTTAGTTTACAGCATCGGGGGCTGCCGATCGGCTGGGCCGGCGGAGGACTTCATTTGGAGCTTCCGAGGTGGACAGCCGGCTGCCCTGTTCTTGCACTTAACGTGCCTTCAGGGACGGAGGGGGTGGGGGAGCATCGTCAATGTGTCGTATTAATTTTTGAAAACCCCTCGGCTTCGGATCAGAACAGTGGTATCCACAGAGCTGGCTCCTAGTTCTCTAAACCCTCCTCTTCATCTGAGCAGGGGGTACGCGCTGTTCGAATGACAACTGCACTGGAATCTCAAGACCTAGTGACAAAGTGTCCTTCCGTATTTAAGGTACAGCGCCACTCTTAAAGCCCTGTGTGAAAAGAAGGCTGATAGTAAGTCGCTGGCCACACTGTCAGGTTGAAAACAGTGAATTTCAGTCAAATCCCAGTTATAAATCCTAATGGATTACGTTGGAAATAGAGATAGCTTCCGGAAAAGACCATCAGAGTTGGTCATGGCTAAATGCAGCTTTCACACTGAGTTTTCCCACGTGGTCCGGGTCTCAGGATCGAGGCGACTCCAGCCGGTTTGTCATGAGATGGAACTGGAGTTAGAAGGGCTTGGATCTCATTTTTATCCCTCTCCGGGGGAAGTAGTCAAGTCAGATGTGCTCACAGTCACTGGGGCCTGACGTCCATTTCGGGCGCTTGTAAGTAAACATTCCGTGGGCCCCGTCATGCCCTCGGCAGACCCGGCCTCTCGGATGGCACATCCGGGTTGGTTTTTGGCGTCCGCCCTCGGTAATGTTTTTTGGGGCCTGACGTCCATTTCGGGCGCTTGTAAGTAAATATTCCGTGGGCCCGTCATGCCCTCGGCAGACCTGGCCCCTGGGATGGCACACCGGGTTGGTTTTTGGCGTCCGCCCTCGGTAATGTTTTAAAATCAGTATGAAGTAGCAGAGCCATGACACCATTTCCCTATTAAACATTCTATTGGTAATGCAGCTTCGTGGGTGTGAAGGGGGATTTGTCTTTTTATATAACACCTGCATGTTGTAAGGTCATCAAGGAAAAAGAAGAAGAATGAGCCTGTATCTAATGGAGCCATCAAAACAGAGCCACCGAGCTGGTGATGGGAGAAGAAAGTACCATGACTAATAAGTAATTTTTATGCCTTTCAGTGACTCCGCGTAGGGTTCCAAACCTTTATTAAGTGGCAGCGTCTGACCTGAAAAGTAGTTGGAAATGAAATGGTCTCCATAGAGGCAGAATAGTTCCTTACCGACATAGCAGTAGATTGCTACTTCGGGCAGATCACTCAGGATTAGGATGGGTTGGGGAAAAATAACTGAAAAATCCAGCCCACGCCGGACAGAGCCTGACTCAGTGAGAGCTGAAAGAGAAGGAGAGACATGGGCGACTCGCAGGCGGCCACATGGGCTCTGGGTGCTGAGAATTCCCTGCTGAATCGGCACCTTGATGCCAGGGGCTTATTGGCGCTAATGACAATGTCACCGGGGAACAAAGCACCAGCGCACATTCAAATGCAAAATGGTTCAGTTGGAAGTTTTAACCAGAATTGTGTCTGTCTGCAGTGGTTGGGTCAAGTTGAGTCAGATACGGGTTATCAAGGATCCGCTGGGAAAGACGCAGACGCAGGAAGTGCATGGGAAGCGGAAGTCTAGCGGATCCCTCCCTCACCCTGCTCCCGGGCCTTTGGGAAGGTCGTGCTGAGACAGCACAGGGTTCCCACGCCAGGACTGAAACACTTTCCAGATCTCAGGGACCTTCTCCTGAGCCTCACAGCCACCCTTCACAGCGGAGGGTTTTTTAAAATTACTGTTGATTTGAAAGAGAGAGAGAGGAAGAGAGAAGAGAGGAAAAAATGTCAGTCTGTTATTCCACTTAGTGATGCACTCATCTGTTGCTTCTCGTATGTGCCCTGACCAGGGATCAAAGCACAACCTTGGTGTATCCGGACGATGCTCTAACCAACGGGGCTACCCGGCCAGGGCCCACAATCGGTGTTTTAAAGATGAGACCAGTGAGGTTTAAAGAGGCCTAACTGGCCCGGCTGGTGTGGCTCAGTGGCTGAGCATCTACCTATGAACCAGGAGGGCACGATTTGATTCCCGGTCAGGGCCCATGCCCGGGTTTCGGGCTCCATCCCCAGTGTGGGGTTTATAGGAGGCAGTCGATCCATGATTCTCTCTCATCATTGATGTTCCTCTCCCTCTCCCTTCCTCCCTGAAATCAATAAAAATATATATTTTTTTAAATAATAAAATAAATAAAGAGGCCTAATGGATAGGGTTAGGGTCGCAATGTGCCACCACCTGGTTTCTCCCTGCATTCTGTCCCAACCCTCGCCTGTTTCAAAACCTTCTCCCAGAAACACAGGGCTTAGTAGGTCAGCACAAACGCCAGTGCCGCCTGGTAGGTTGTTGACTTACAGTGTTGAGCGTTTTATTCCAGGTCTTCAGATTTAAGGCCGCTGCTGTCACTGTTCTGAAATGTCAGCCTCCTTTATTTCCCCCCAGCACTCGCACCTCGACCGCTCGGCCCCTTTGTGCTCTATGGACTTGGTGTCGGCACCACCCTGTGCCAGGCACCAGGCGGTTCTCTCTTTGGCCATTGACATTGACATCTTGTCTCCACGGGTCACCACCTTTTCCCCTGGGTCTGTGAACACAGTCATTGTTACCTTCTTGATTGACACCTTGGAAATTTTGTAAACATGTTATATATTATTTGGGGGGATCCTTGGCTAACTGACATTTCTTAAAGCCAGTTCACGATTCTTTCCTTCTAAAACACCCTTGGGCCCTGCCGGCGTGGCTCAGTGGTTGAGTGTCGACCTATGAACCTGAACCAGGAGGTCCGGATTCGATTCCTAGTCAGGCCACATGCCCGGGTTGCAGACTCCATCCCCAGTAAGGGGGTGTGCAGGAGGCAGCTGATCAGTGATTGTCATCATTGATGTTTCTATCTCTCTCCCTCTCTCTTCCTCTCTGAAGTCAATAAAAATACATTTAAAAATTTTTTCAAACACCCGTGGGTGCATGATGCAGGGGCTCTGTGCCATGGGCCCTGCGCTGCTTCCTCATTGGACGATGCTACCATCAGTGGGAGGCGAAAGAAACCAATGTTATTGCTGAAGTTCAGTGGGTACATTGGACCATTCATTTCAAAGTCAAAGAGAGAATACTCTTCATGCATCAGTGACTTGGGCTCCTCCTCCTGGGACCTGCTCAGATGCTGTTTCAGGGCAGGGGCCTCCATGGGTACCTCAGGGAGACCCGCCCGGCCCCGCCCACAGCACGTCCGGCCCACATACTCTGCATTCTGTTTCTGAGCAGAACCCAGGTAAAGACATACTGTCTGGGGGTTCCGGATCCAATTCCAATGTGTTTGTGTCGGAGGCAGGTTCCCCACACCAGCAGGCCATGTTCAGGACGTTGGGTGTCCTACAGTTTAACTCAGTGCTGACAGCATCTTCCTGGAGATGGTGTCAGATCCCACAGGTGAGGGGTCAGTCCTACACGATGCCTGTCACAAGCCCCGGTTCTCACCTGTGCTTCCGACCAACTACAGATCGGAGGTTCCAGTGACGCCCCCGGCACAGGATGCCAATCCCACGCCCGGGTTGTTGCCTGCACTTCTGGCTGAGGGCGGCTGTCCATCAGAGCTTCCCCCGCCCCTTCCTTGGGTTCAATTAATTGGCTAGAGCAGCTCACAGAACTGGGAGTAAGTTAGTAAGTTCCAAAGCAATGTTTTTGTTATAAACGACAAATATCACACACATACACACACACACACACACACACACACACACACTCTTTGATGTATTTTTTTGTGTTGTTTTTTTTAAATATTTTTATGGATTTCAGAGAAGGGAGAGAGAGAGAGAAAGATAGAAACATCAATAGTGCAAGAGAATCATGGCTTGGCTGCCTCCTGCCCACCCCCTCCTGGGGATCGAGCCTGCAAACTGGGCCTGTGCCCTGACCAGGAATACAACCATGACCTCCTGGTTCATAGGTCGACCTCCAACCACTGAGCAACCCGGTCAGGTGGTTATTTGTCTCCTTCCTTGCCCACCATCACACCGTAACTATAAAGATCCATGAGACCAGAAAATGTCCTTTGATCACTGCTGTGTGCCCAGCACCTGTCACATTGCCTAGTGTATAGCAGGCTTTTCATACATAGTGCTGCCTAAAGCGGCGTCAGGGCCCATAGTCCGGGCAGAGGTGGAGTTTCAGCGGAGAAAAGATGCCAGTGATTTGCATGAAGATAATTTAAGTTTGTACCCTTCTTCACTGCTCAGGTTCCAATATCTTATTACAGGCAGCGAGACTATATCCTTTAAAAGGAGAATAAAATGGGGTCGTTATTTTTAAAGAGACATTTCTATCACCTCATGTCTTTCTAAAGTTTTCATTACGAACAGTCGCCGAGGAATGGAGGGCCGGCATCTGATCTTACGTTATAATTGCACTCCCTGTTCCCGGGCCTTTTCCTCGGAGCAGCGCCTCCACATTAGTTCCGCCTTTGCAGGTGGTGTTCTTTCCTCCCCTCCATAGATATTTCTCCAAAAGGCGAGGAAACGGAGCTCGAGCTAGTGAATGCGCTAATCCAGCCCACGAATTACTCAGCCGCAGGTAGCTCCACGGGGCTGGTGATCTTCACCTTAGAATAGCCTTAGCATGGCTGCTTCCGGAGCACTGCCCCAGAGAGGGCCCCTCGTAGCCACATCACAGTGAAACCCAGGAGAACGAGGGAGGGAAAGCCGCCCCCACCCCCACGGGTTCACATCCGATGGAACATGGTGATGGCGATTGTCTCTTCTTCAGCGAATCGAGCACCACCCATGGCCTCGCTTTTCACGGGGCTGTTTTTGTTTTCCAAAAAAAATTCCACACAAGTTAGGGGAAAATGCAGTTGAATACCTAATTATGATGTGATTTGCTTTTCCCCAATAACATATCATTACACATGCACACTTCTCTGTCATTCCATGACCCGGCCAGGTGTAACAGGACAGGGCCCGGGAGAGAGTGATGATGGAATAACATCATCATGGGCCATGATAGTTCAAGATTCTATTTGTTTTCTTTCCATCGGCCTGAGGGCTGAAGGGTTCCAGGTTTGATTCCCAGTCAGGACACATGCCCGGGTTGCGGGCTCCATCCCCAGTGGGGGGCGTGCAGGAGGCAGCCGGTCCATGATTCTCTCTCGTCGTTGACGTTTCTATCTCTGTCTCCCTCTCCCTCCCTCTCTGAAACCAATAAAAACATAAAAAAATAAACTACACGAATTCACATGCTGGGTTTTGTGAAAGATGATGTGGGGAAATCAGTGATGACACAAGACCAACCCTGGCTGCTTGCTCTCCCGCAGTCCCAGTTCGCAGCCGCCGTTCCCGCCAGGCCCGCGCTGCCCCTCTTCCACACGCCCATCGACCTGGTGGACATCAGCGTGGAGATGGCGGGGCTGAGGTTCATCAATCCTTTCGGCCTCGCCAGTGCGACGCCCGCCACCAGCACCACGATGATCCGCAGGGCCTTTGAGGCCGGCTGGGGCTTCGCCCTGACCAAGACGTTCTCTCTGGACAAGGTAAGAAAATGCTCCTGAGCCGTGTTTCATGTCTAGCGTGTGTTCCCATGAGGGCATAAGCCCTGTAGTGGGAAGATTCTAATGACCAAGCAGTGATCGTTAAGAAACTACCGGGCGAGACCTGTGAGTTCACATCCGTCTGTACTTTCCTTCTATTCCTTCTGTCCCATCGAAAGTGGGGTGCGGGTGGGGGGAGGTGTGGGGGGAGCATCTGTTTCTCATTTTGTTTTGTCTAGAAAGCATCAAAACTATAAGCATTACATAAGCGGCTGTCTCATTTAAGAATCACCATCACACGAGTTCTTATTCATTGTTTTGTGATTTCTGGGCATGTGTGAGTGAGGACATGGGCCCCCACTCACAGGGAGACAGTGGGGTGGTCTGCACGTCGTCCCGGGATCGAGTTCATGTCGGAAGGAGTCTCGGGGTAAGTCATTGGTGCTGGTCACACGTAAGATTTTTCTCGAATTTTTAAATGCAGACACTTTGCCCCAAACACATCGGCTTGAGTTTCATTTGGCGTCGCGGTGGACTCTGCGCTCAAGCTACCCGCACGCAGACCTCGAAGAAAACAACCCACAGATTCCAGTCGATTCACTCTCTTAAAGGACACGAAGCACACGGGTGTGTGCGACCCGAGTGGGAGGAGCCAGCGGAGGGTGCCTCCTCCCATGGCTGTGACTCAGGGATGAGCAGCAGAATCGAACATTTCTGAAACCTTTATTGATGGAATTTTAAATGCGCAACCTATTGATGTATTTAGTGCTGACTGGTAGTTAGTAATAATTAATGTATAAGAATGTGGGGATCCAGTGACTAGGAAAAGAGTATCATTATTTAAATCAGCCTGGTCCTCAGGCAAAGAAAATAATAGGGAACAGATCTGCCCATTAAGCACACTCTGCTGCTTCCCCGGAAGGCTCAGTCGCGGGCACCATTACGGCGAGAACGCGGGCAGCTTGACGAGGGGCGGTGAGCAAGCGGAGTCAAGAAAATCCAGGGAAGCCTCAGAAGTTAGGAGAACCACAGCGTGAGGAAAAGACTCCGTGAATATATTATGTTTAAGTAGCTAAAGGGAGGTCCTTTTTCCAAAAAAATATTGGCTGAATGTCTAGAAATATTCTGCTGAAGCAACGGGTGAAAACATATAGAACGCAGTGAATTAAGCTGTAGAATATCCAGGCACCATTACGGCGAGAACGCGGGCTGTCTCCCCGGCAGCTTGACGAGGGGCGGTGAGCAAGCGGAGTCAAGAAAATCCAGGGAAGCCTCGGAAGTTAGGAGAACCACGGCGTGAGGAAAAGACTCCGTGAATATATTATGTTCAAGTAGCTAAAGGGAGGTCCTTTTTCCAAAAAATATTGGCTGACTGTTTAGAAATATTCTGCTGAAGCAACGGGTGAAAACATATAGAACGCAGTGAATTAAGCTGTAGAATATCCTTAATCGATTGTTCACAACCTTGTGGAATATTGATCCCATATTTGTCTTTGTTTCAATCCATCCTTTACGGAGGGCTCAGAAGCCATCATCAGAGGTTGAACCCCCTGGGGAACACGGAGCCTCTGATAGCCCTGAACGGCGACATCGGTTACAGCACGTTAGCATGTTTATATGTAAGCCCAAATAGGTTGCTCATCGGGGACTCCTGAGGAAGTGTCGCCAAAATAAAACACAAGCAAACAAGCCACAGCAGCCAGTGTTTGCTCTGGAGCTGCTGTTTTCTTTTGCTTGCAAATTGAATTCTGGTTCATCAGAGAAACCTGCCTTCCCTCCGCCGGCGACAGCCATCGATTCGGGGCGCCGTCTCCTTCCGCAGCCCAGGGCAGCCCCCTTTATTAAGGCCAGCAGCAGAAGCCACTGTGGCCACTCACTCCCTCCTAACCCTCCAATTGGAATCTAATCTCTCAGTTCCGGAGACTGTGGGGCCATTTCCGAAGGACAGTGATGAGCAAATGCAAATTAAATTTGGCACATAAAACAGAAGGGTGGGGTCAGGACGCGCTCTGTCACCCCTGAGGTGGGGGGGCGCACAGAGTATCTGTGCAAGGCTGTCTTAAGTGCACCTGTGAAGCTCGTACCGACCGACCGAAGCAATGATGTCACCCCGGGTTATATAACGCCCGTTTCAAAAGCAGTGATTTTCCATGCAGGCTTTTGCCCACTAGCCTACTTGCTTCCTAGAGATTTATTATTATGTTTGTTTGTTTGTTTCTTACATTGTCCCTAGTTACTAATGATGCCTGTTGTGAATAGAGAATTGCCTGTTGAGCTTTGGTGCCTTCCCACGTTTGAAATGCTGCGTATACTCCCCAGTGGCACACACACAGGCTCTACGTCCGTTCCCGGGGTGTAAGCGCCCTACCTCTGTGTGACGTCAGAGCACAGCAGCTTAGATGCGCCCCCGGCCGGCCGGCCACTTATTATGCCAACGCAAGACTGCTCAGCGGGTGCTAACACGCAGAATCCTGGCATTTGCAGTGTGGGTGCTCTTCACATGACAGAGGTTATTCGTGCCGTTTTGTTATCATAGGAAATATTGATATTTCACGATACAGTTTTGATGCAGCGCCGTTTGCCGAGCCTACGTGAGACAGAGAAATTACAAGCCTGCCGGGAGGTCGGAGGTCGTAGAGATGAGAGCCCTGGCGGGGCAGTGCTGGAAGCTGTGTCCTCCTGTCCTGCTGGGGGCGAGGGAGTTAAGGGGGCTCCCCAGATTGGCAGCTGAATATGGCACTGATTCCTACAGCAGATGTGTTCAGGGGACTTTCTTTATCAGGGGGCAGTTTGGAACATGCGTTTGATTTCCATCCGGTAGATCTCTCTATGCTCTTGGCGTTTCTCGGGGCCGGATTGAGGCCTCAGGCTGCGGCCACGGAGACCAGGGCCTTCCAGGGAGACGCCGTGGCTCTCTCGGCGCAGAGAAACCCTATCGCTCCCTGCGCGGCCTGTGTAACGGCTGCATGGGCTTGCTGTAGGGAGGCGAGTGATCAGACGTCCCATGTCAGCTGCAAAAAGATCTGTGTCTGCTTTTGTGTGAAATGACGTGGAAGATGGCTTCCTCCCCGGTCCGTCATTCCTACCGTGTCCCCGCTTCCCGGCTCTCCTTTCCTCGGTCCTGCTCATGCTTTAGGAGGAGGATGTTTACAGTGCTGCCACCAAAATGCTTAAATACATCTCAGATCAGTTATTGTAAGTACATATTGAGTTCAGGTTGACATTTCGAAAAGGTGGGAGAGAAATCAACCTGCCTCCCTCGGTTTAAGCTAAACTATCGGGACATACCAGAGAAATGCTCAGTGTAACTGGGCAGGTTACATAAAGTAACTCCTGACCTGTGTTCACATTATGCTGATGGGAAATCAAAACATTTTGTTTTTGCCTGGCTAGTGGTTGAGCATCGACCTATGAACCAGCAGGTCACGGTTCAATTCCTGGTCAGGGCACATCCCCAGGGTGCGGGCCCGATCCCCAGAAGGGGATGTGCAGGAGGCAGCCGGCCAATGATTCTTTCTCAGCCTTGATATTTCTTTCTCTCTTGCTCTCTCCCTCTCCCTTCTTCTTTCTGAAATCAATAAAAACATTAAAAAAAACTTTGTTTTTGTTAATTACATCGTAACTTCTCTTCATCTCAGGTAGCTACACATTACATACTGCAAACATATAACATCTAACTCCAGGTTGCATATACCTTCACCACAACACAGATAAATCAGGAAGTGTTTATCACTCTCCTAACCCAAGTTCAAGCCTAAGCGAAATTTCATTCTATCTATAAGTTCTATTTAGATATTAGTGAACTTGGGATTGATTTTTAGTAACAAAATGTCTTAGATGCATGTATGTCATTGTAATAACGTCAAATGATTGGATAAGTAGGTGAACACATGATGAGTTTCAACATAAAATACTGAAAAGTAAACACAGAAATATTAAAGGCTCTTCATTATTTCTTTGGACTCAAAGTATTGATTGTAGCTGTTTCCATCAAATCCAGCCTCGTGGCACATCCACGCTCAGTGCCCAGGAAGAGTGTGATAAATGCGTCACAAATATTTGTTGCCTAAGCGAGTGAATAAATGAATAAATGGGTTTCTCTCAGCGGCATATTGAAGGTTTTTTTTTTTAAGGCCGTGTGAACAGACAGTTAACACCTAAAACATTGACTGCTCTGAGTATTGCTCCCAATCAGAGGCGAAAAGGCCAATTTAAAATGTTCACATCCTGTGTTTCTTTCTAGAGTGTGTGTCCATGTGAACATGGTCAGGACACATGCCCGGGTTGGCAGGGCACGTGCCCGTGGGATTTCTAAGCGTGTGGGTTCTAAGGCAGACACAGGTTGTTGAGTGAGCCTTAAAAAGGTTAAGAAGGCAGAGAAGGTGGGGGAACAGATCAGCGTGGCACAGGGTGAGGAAGAGACGTGGACATTGTCTGGCCACTGTCCCAGGCCTGTGTCCGTAGCCCTGACAGAAGAGACACGCTGCTCTTGAATGCTTCCAGGGACACGGAACATGCGGAGTCCTGAGGGCGGTGCAGCCTGTCCAGCTGGGCACGGGTCCTTGAGGAAAGCCGGCCTCTATTGATCACCAGCAATATTCCTTCCTGCCCCTGGCTCTGCCACTGAACCACAGGGCTGCTTTCTCCATCACGCATGTCAGCCCACCCACAGGGAGCGGCCGGCAACAGCCAGTGACCTGCTGTGGGTTCTGCAGGTGGGCAGGCCGCCTGGAGCCTCGCGGGCAGGGCTGGGCCTGGCTCTCCACGCCACGTGGTCTCGTCCTCAAGGACAGGGCGCTGGGCTTGCTGGCGGGGCGGCCGTGTTTTTCACAGGCAGGAGGGGACGTGGCGAGGCCGCTCCCTTGTCCTATCGGCAAGCCTTTCCTTTCCTTTTCTTCCTGAAGAGTTCGGCTGTCCTTCCCAGAACAAGATCTGCAGACTTTTTACCCTGTAGGTGGTCCGTTCTTCCATGCGGATCTCAAGACACTTGGTTCAGTCCATAT